AGAGAGAGAGAGAGACTGTATTACCGTGTTTGCCGTACGTCGTCAAGTTCACCCACTTCGCGCAGCCGATCGTCATCGGCGGCAACGGAAGAGCCTCTCGCTCGCGCTTAGCATACACGTTGGTATCTGGTATCTGGTAACGACGACGGGCGACGGGCGAAGGTTGTTCAACTCGGGCGGATCTCGTAGCACCGTCGGGTATAACGGGTCCTAAGGCCCGCGCACGCCGGCCAGGCGCGCTCCACCTTCAGCTTGCCTCCTCACGCTAGGCAATCGCGCGTGCACCGTACCCTCTTCCTCGGCCCGCTACAAACCTTCTCCAACCTTCTCCAACCTGGGTACGCCGAGCACGACTTGTCGGGCAGCCAGTCAGCCGTGCATCATTGTCACAAGATCGTCCGGGTAGTCGACACGCGTCCTCCGAGAGACTCTTCTTCTTCGCTTCGCCGGCGCGATCTCTTCCTCTCCTTTTCTCGCGAATCTTCGAGTATCGCGGTTCCGGTTGTTTGAGTTCGAGTTTCTTCCGACGGTATCGTCTCTTTTCTCTCGAGCGGGTGATCGTTGAAGAGGTAAACGCGCGAATTACGGGCGGATTCAGTGGTGCGCCGTAGAAGCCGTTTCGCGTATTTTCGCGATCGTGCGCTCCGTGAGATCGTCGGGTGTGTGTAATAATCGCGTTTGAAGTGATTCGATGCTCCATCAAGTCAGTTGAGACATAGGTAAGACATCGATAATTTACGATAATCATTAAATATATATTTAATGTTTGTTTCTACTTTGTTCAGTAGCGCACATGGTTTAGTGAATTATATAAATCTGTTAAAATATTACTTTCTATCATGATTTAAATACTTTTTAATATTCTCTGCACAAATGTAATAATTTATGAAAATAAGTAAGATAATTGGTGCTTTTAAAAACATTTATATGATAAGGATCTAAACAACCAATTTCAATAGCTAATTTTATACATTTCATATAGTATACAAAATATAATGTTTACAATATTAATACTAATTCCAAATTGCAAAATTTCAATATTGACTATAAATTCTATTTGTGTTTGCGTGGATTCTTATATTGCTCAGTAACATTTTTTTTTCAAAAAAATATCAATTGCATATGTAACTATTTAAATAAGTACAATTTATATTCACTAAATAATGCAATACTACGATATTATAAAAATCTTTTTTTTATAATAAGTATTATGATTGGTATTTATTCAAAATTAATGAAGAATTTCCGCATTCTTAATTATAACGGTTACGAATTTTAATGAACATGCGAAGATATCGTCTACTTGATGTAAATTAAGAACATTATAACGATGCTGGATCACAAAAACGAACAAAAACATTGCATGGCTCTGGTCCCAAGATATGAGATCGCTGATAAATTACTTGTATCTATTTCATTGCACTACAACTCACAGTCACTTCCTGAGGAGCTCGTTGCTCTTCTTCCTGTTTCTCTTTTTTTGCATCATTACGTTATGTTACACTTGTTGAATCGTGTTACACGGGTATCTTATTATATTGTCTCATTAGGTGATTAAACATAACGAGAGCACTTTTGGAGTGTATACGTCATGCTCCAAAAGAGATTCGAAAATGAATGCATAGATTATAATAAGTTTCATGACCTATATTTTTATAAGATTGGATAAACATTAATGGTTGAAAATAGCATAAATCTCAATAAGTTTGAAATTGATTGAAAAAAATCTTATTTTACAAAAATTTTAAACTTTTAAGATCTTTTTATGATTATTTATAAGTATTAGTTTAACGTCAAATTACAAATTTATTAATTTTAAATTTAATAAACATAGAAAAGTAACACTACTTTTATCTATTTGCATCTAAAAAACTTATTAATTTTTAAGAAATTCATTTATTTTATAATTTTTAAAATAGCGACATGTAAATATTTTTGTTAATGTAAACTCACTCTTATTTTCTATAGGGAATGTTGCTCTTTGTAAACAAATTACTAAATACTTCGTTACTTAGAAGAAACATTGTTTTTTTTATTACTTTGAAAAAAGTTTTCAAGATTCATAATTACAAGGGAAAAGAAAATAGTTGTTACATTTCTTTTACGTATAAATACTTTCAATTTTCGTTTGTTTTCTTCTCCCTTGTTGAATTATTTAGTCTTTCACGCTTCAGTGAGAATGTCTTTCGTAATGAAATTTAGCTTCACGCCACATTGTGAAGTTATTTGTAACATCTTTTTTGATAACGAAAAATAGCTAAGATTATCATTATTTATGCGAGTTAAATTAAGGATCGATAAAAGGCATTTTTGCGTGAAATGCATCTATTGTGTGAAATAGTCACGGTGGAGGCATATCTGATCCAAATTTCCATCCAACTACTTATCTACCCTCATGAATAAGATTCGATCCGATCGCGTTAAAATTAATGCGATTTACTGACCCGGATGATTGAGAGACGTGCTTTTGGCCGATCGTTCTCCATGCCTTGTCTCGTTTCATTTCTTATTCACCATGATCTAATTCTAGCGGCGATGGATGTTCGGCGCTCGTTAGAGCGCAAATTTGTTTGTTAAATAGCGTATCTTTATTGCGCGTGATCTTTTCCGCTGACGTTCAGCGTTCCGGAAACGGGGATCTCGTTCTTGTAGCGATCCCGGGAACATCGCGAAATAATCTTCGAAGATTGCTTTTATTAGATCGTCGGCTTAAAAATGATTCTTCGTTTGTATATCTTTTCTTATCGCTGATAATGTTTACAAGAGTATCCGGTTTAACGAAAATAAAATAATATTTACTGTTATATTCAATGAGCTTATGAAATATCACGTTATCATTTTTCTTACTTGCTTTAATCTATTAATTTCTTATCTTGTAAATTAAGTTTCACTCGTTATCGAATGAATTGAATTAGAATTAGAGGAGGGGAGGAGTAATTCCCCGTAACTGCATTTGCGTCTGTTTACGCTACAATGTTACGGAAAATTGCTACTAAGCTTGCCATCGAAAATAGTCAGTGCGTAAATAAAAGAGCAATAATAATTATTATTGCGTGCAACGGTTCTGTTCATTACAATGATAAACCTATCGATTCTCGAACGATAATGCTTAATTGAAAGCATCTTGTCGAATTTGTAGTTATTACACAGTACAGATATTACAGTAACAGATTTAAAACGTTTATATTACATATCATAATAAAGTTATTAAATATAGTAAAATCATTTTATATTTTTTATCGACAATTTTAAATAACGAATCTTTGCGCGACGTTTCCAAAGAAAAATCAATAGTATATATTTGAAAATTTAAACTCAAGTCGTTGACTTTTAAAATTCTATACTTTATAATAATATTTATACTTTGTAGAGAAATTAATTTATTTAATAGACTTGCTTAATTAATAGGTTAGGCATTCATTCAGAATTTTTTTTACAAGGTTATTTGCAACTCGACAGAATCGGCCGCGAGCGGTTTTCTGGTTCGTGAGGGAACATTCAAATGGTTAACGGTACGTGCCCCGCTCGTAGAATTCGCGCTCGTAGCATTCTACCGATGGAATAATGTCTTGTCGGACTTCTCGCGCACTTCGGCTCGTACACGTTTCCCTCCCCCCCCCCTCCCCGAGAGATGCACGACGCGGCGTCGCACTGCGATGGACGATAGTTCGAAGAAGATCGACGCCCGTTCGGTACCGTTAGCAGACACGAATATGAAAACGATAAAAATGCAACGGTAAAAAAAACATCGGCGTGACAATCATCCGACGATCATAGCTAGAGAATTCTCCGTGTGCGAGAGATGTTGAATTTATAACGCATCGGCTCCCTCAGGCCGAAGCTGAAAGCCTTCGTTAAAACCTTTGGCGGAGATTTCAACGCCGGAGGAGGAACGTTCCACTCGTTTATGATCAGCTTGCCGCTTATGTGTCCATAACTGCTATAAAACCGAATATATAAAATATTATCCGTATGTTGTATAGTTTTTCTAAATTACTAAATTACTAAATTTTCTAAATTACTTTTATATTTACGTATTAATCATTTTAAGTATAAATATTTGCTTTACACCTATCGATTGTGATTCTTATTTATTGTTAAAGAAGATTTTTATATTATCTACACTGTAAGCGCAAACAGCACGAAATTCTATGAATTTTATGGTGCAAATGAAGATGCTTAATTTACGTCAATGATAAAATAATGTCGCTATTCGCATTCTATGTGCATAGACGATTGGAACAATCGGAAATGAGCATTGAATACGAACAGTCCTTTCAATTGAGATCTTAGTTGACAAATCGGTGATCAGGAATTCGCGTCGCGCAGTGTAAACTCGCCAGAGGCAACTGTCTCGACAGTTGCGTCATGGGTAACCATTAATAATCGTATGCATCTTGAGTTTTCGATTGTTGTGTCAGATGCAGTTGCAAAATTCTCGATGTTCGGGCGAAGAAAATTGTATTCACATCGTATATATTGAAAATTTATAAATTACAAATAAAAAAGATTTCAGATATTTATCATTATATTTGGCTTTATTTATCATCTAATTTGAATATATAAAATTTAAAAACTCATATACTTATATACTAATAATACAGAATTTTAATATTTGCTATATCATCGTTTACATTCAATAATTTTGTAAAGTAATTTTATAAAGCAAGATTTAAATTAGGAAAAAAATAAATAAATTGTGTGTTATGTATCTTGTGTATTATTTTATCATAAATTAGGGAATAACGACGTTCGTCGTTGTTCATTCGCACTCCACGAAGCATATCGCATCGACGATATCGTCAGAAACAACTGTCGAAACATAAGTACATAGTGAGGATGCAAATTCTTGCAATAGCTTATACGTACCTTCATGAATATTAATGCAGGCGTCCGTCACGTCTTTGTCGGTCGTAAAATTAAAACCTTCCACTTCCGCGGACTTACTCCACCACTTCCGTTCTTCCCTCGCATACGAGCTACGCAATCACGCCTTTCGTTTCACGATCACGCGAGATCGATGTTTTTTGCGATCTCCGTATTTTCCTCCTCTCGACTGGTTGATGACATACGGTGATCCATCTGCAATCTAGATCGTTGCTCAAGATCAGGTTCAGCATTCGAGTGTAGGTCATCGTGTCGAGGACAGTCTCCAGCCTCGCGTGTTTCGATTCGCGGGGATCGTTCCCTCTGTCTTTTTATAATTCGTCGCGCGCCATCCTCGTTAATGTCATTTCGGAATTTGTAAACGAGTTACACGGAACTTTTCTGCGGCTCTTCTTTTAAATCTCGCCTTAAAATATTTTTCTTTGATTTTTGTTCCAGTGCGAAAATGCGGATGCAACTGCTGAAGATCGTGGTGGTCCTGCTGGTAGCAGGATCAGGTGATACCAGGCCTCAGAATGGTGGGTATTTCGTAAAAGATCATATAACGATAAATATTTCGAGTTACGATCAGAAACGATCGATAAAATATGAGCTGGCAATAGGGGATAATTTTTTTGATGCGAAATCGATGCTTTCTTCGCGGCGCGATCGCAGCTAATGATCCATGCTTGTTCGATCGCAGATCTGTTATCTCTTAATGTATCTTAATTGCGATAGCAGAGAATGTTCAAACAGCGATTAGTTGGTAGGTGTGATAATTTACGTAATAGATGTGTATTTACGACCATTATTTTCCATTGCGTTTCAATGTAGAAACGAGTTGTTTTGTTTCTTCTTCAAAAGGATTGAATTTATGTTCAATGTTCCAATTATGGAGAAAACGCATACGAGGCATCAATCATATAATTACTCAATGGCATCGATTGTCGTAGCGTGTCGGATAACAACTTGTTTTCTTCGTGAAGCCGTAATTACGCCGTTGCTTCTCGTGCGCTAACGTTACCACCCGCGTTTTTTCTTACAAAATCGAATTTCCTAAGACGGAAGAAATATTTAACTAGCCAATCGTTCGAATTTTAGACATTGAGAAATCCTCGCAGCGTTGCAACGCTGTTAGTGGTTTCACGTATTTAGCAATTATTAATCGTATAATCGGCTTCGTCGATGTTGCTGTGTCGACGGATTCGCGCAGCGATCAACGTTATTAAAAAATCTTTTTCCATTAAGATTCATTCAAAACTCTTCCTCTTTCTCTCCTCTAACTCTTTCCTCTTTTTTCCTTTTCAGGCGCGGATTCGCAAGCGAAGACGATAGAAAGGAGCGACGTGGGATGGAGAGGCGTCCAAGTCTCGAGCAAGTCGCACGACATTGTTCGAGACGATAGCAGGTATACGAGGACTTCCGGAAGTAATAGAAAGTCGTATATCACACATTTCCGCGATAATGACGATTCGTCGCGCGAGCATAACGCAGTCGGTTTACGCGCGAGCGATTTCGCTCGCGCTCCGGCGCGATCGTTTAGCGCTCGTCGCTCCAAGATCGACGACATCTGGACGATGCCGGAATTTAAAGCGACGAGCGCTCGCCCGCGTCTCTCGCGGACGGACGTACCGGGTGAAATCGCGAAAATCGCTATTGTTCGAAACTCGAGCGAAATGCATCGATCCTCGTTTCACGCTTCCCCCGGTAATTCAGAAACGATTCAGAACGACAAGGCGGGCCGGACTAGACTCAGCCCCGACTTGGAAGTCGGTCGAACGAATTACTTCGGGAGGATGAATATCGAGGAGAATTTAGAGAGATCGAAATCCGGCGTGATTTCGAATGAAAATCTCGGATCGGTAATCGCTCAAATGAGACACTCAGGAAGTGACTTCTTAGCGGCTCGTGCATCTGGTTTCCGGAGGATAAATGACGGTATTTCTATTGTAGAAAAAAATTTGCGGAAGTTGAGTTCGGTTAAATCCGATTTATTAAGGAATAAGGGTGTCGTTGAAGGTAACACATTGCGTCGGAAGACAGAGCAGGATTTAAATGGTTCTTCTTTGCAAATAGCGAGGACGAATGTTCCGAGCGATTCTCAAACAGATGTTGCTTCTTATTCTATTTATAAAAATCGTAATCCTATTCGTAAAAATGCGAATAAAATAACAAATCCGATAGTGATTTCGCGCGAAGACTCGAAGCCGAGTGTCGTCACCGATTCTTTTCGTCACATCGGCGGCAACCGGCGCAACGGTTTGAATAATTCAAGAAAATCAACGCACGACGTGGAGACGCGTCTGACCTTGATCCCGAATTCGAAATCTAAAGTCGTTGGTCACAATCGATCCCCTGCGTTTCCCCTCGGGAACGCAGTTACGTCCCACAGAAATTTTGTTAAACTTCGATATCCGTATTCGACTTCGAATCAACGAAACGCCAGTAACGTGGCGTCGAATACGAAGTTGAAGAACGACGAAAATGTCGATTCTACTGTCGTTCAACTGAGACAGCCGGCAAAGGGCCACTTCACGCAAGCAGCTTTAGAGAGGCCCGTCAAGTTGAACAATCACGCGACATCCAAACTGACGAAGAATAATCATTCTTTGTCCGCTCAGAAGTCGCCGAGTCAGGGAATCGATGGTGGGAACAAAAGCCAAAGCACGCCCGTACAATACAATGAGTACTTAAAGAACTGGCCGAACGAGGCGCTTCAAAATATTGAAGATCTATACAATTACGAGAAGTACACCTCGTCCTTGGAGGAGGAGTCGAGTTTTCCGGATGCCGAAACATCCATCCTGTCCTCGGATGGCGGTTACTTTGATCATTCGGATCCGATCCTTGATTCCAGTGTGCAGAAAATCATCCACTGGTTAAAGGTTCCGGCGATTGTTCCGAACAATACACAATTTTCGAATTATAATGGCGATGTTTATAAGCCATCGATCGACTCGGTCCTCGAATCGGTTTACGAAAATTTGGAACCTAATCGTCCGCTCGTCAACACCTACGATAGCAATTATGAGACTGTCAATCTTCAGGATACATCGTCGAATCAAAATCTTGATGAAATAGATCAGGCGAATTATCCGATTCAGTGGTCGAATTCAATCTCTCGACCCCAATACGTGGTAGGTTCTTCGAATCCTTCTGCTCCTTCGTGGTCCGATGTAACATCGCTACAGAACAAGACCGTTTTCAATCCCCTGACACACGTGACGCAGAATACAGTGGTCCATATCTTAAATGATGGCTTGAAGAAGCCAAATGTAACCGTGACGCAATTGAAAGTAGCCGAAACTGATACGGCTGTCGATCAAGCAGCTCCTTCAGGCTCTTCCTCCAACTCCTCCTCGGATCTGGTTCAAAGACCCAACGTTCACGTAATGTTTACTTCTCAGAAGGACGAGGATAAGGAACCTTCCAAACAGGAGACCTTTCCTTCGTCGAATTACAATTCGAACTGCCCGACAATCATGATAAACACCTATACCAAGGTGAACAATACGATTCAGAGCAAAGAGGGGTGCACCGATCTAAACATAATCGTCAATTCTCACGTCTTGAATACGAACACGTTTACGCCGAGTGGCACACCGGCGATCGCGGAGAATCAGCAGACCTCCTTAGCGACGCAGGGTTACGGTGACGCAGACGACAGCGAGAAGTACGCTGAAGCGAACGACGACCTCTCCTATCAGAATTCTTTGGGTAGTTACGTCACCGCGTCGACCGGAACGTACAGTTCCGGCCCGCTTGAGACGCTGCAACCGGGTCAACACGATTATTACGATTCTCAGAAAAATCCCGGTGAATTTCCAGGTCAAGGGAACGATCCCGGTCAATCTTTGCTGTCGACCGTCGAGGTGTCCCAAGGTACTCAGATTAGCATCTCCGGCTCGAATGTCCCGTTAACGGACGCGGAAGTGACGGCGAGCCCGGCCGGATCGATAGTCGATAGTCCCGCCGTCGGTCCCGGCGATGACGCGTCAAGTTCCGCGGTCGATCCACCGGCAGCCGTCGCTTCCGCGAGCGGACCATCTGTCGCCGGAAGTTCTAATTCCGCAAACCCGTCTGTGTCCGCCGTCGCTCCAGAACTGCCCGTCTACTTGGTCAAACCCGGCCCGATCAAGGGACAGTCTAATAACGCTCTGGGTCCAGGTTCCTTGCAACTGCCGAGTCTACCTAATATCGCTATCAAACCCGGTTTGACCGGTAAGCCTAGCGTTCCCGGTGGTAGTCCGTCTTTATCGTCGGGCTCTTCAGTGTCGTCGTCCGACGACGATGACGATGACGACGATGACGATGAGGACGTGTCGCCAGGCAGCGTATTGCAGTCGATAGCATCGGTCTTTACGTATTTCTCCTTTTTGAATCCGTTGGGTTATGGCTTCTTCAGCCTCGCCGCGGCGCCGTTCGCTGCGATGGCGGCCGGCATGCTCGGCGTAGCCGTGGTTGTCTTCCCGTGGGCGATACCAGGTGTCTTCGAATTAGGACGTTCCTCCAAGATCAGCTTCGCGCCGAATCTCGAGGACTTCATCAGACGAGCGGTGCATAAATATGATCGTTTGAACGAGTGGAAGAGTAGACGTAGGAAGCGTAGGAGATGAATCGAGCTCGACGAATCGACCTTGTGACGCTTGGTGATTTTGAAAATAGGAAAGCTGCGGCATAAAACTTGCATGAAGCAAGTATGCTCCCGCTTTTAGAGTTACTTTTACTTAATCGGATAGAATTCGCAAAATGTATCGTTTGTATCGTTCGATATCGGATCGAAAATGATGCGCGGTTAGATGAAAGCGAAGAGAAGAAACTATTAGATTATTATGTTTTTTTTTAGCATTATATGCATTTATTAATGTAGTATATTATAATGCAAGATAATCGTATATTATTTTTATTTATTAATGATGAAACTTATTTATTTGGGTAGATAGAGTAGTGATTAAATAAATATATAATAATTAATATTTTTACACTTGTCCTATATAATATAAAATATAATTTATATAAATATATTTATATAAAATCATTTAATTGCTTATGACACAAAACAATATGTTTTTAAGTATTATTTAATAATTATTTTATTTTTATTTTTATGCCACAAGCAATACAGTAAGAAATGTTACTTAATATATATTTGTTTCTTATATAATTACATAGATTAGATGATAATCAGTACACTTATTAACTTAATATCTCATTATACGGTTATTAACTTGTTACATTAACTTATCATTTTTATAGTTATAAATAGAATAGTGTAAAATATTGCGTTTTTTTTTCATCGTATCTATATAAATTCTTTATGTAATATTAAGAAAAAATAATATAATAATATTTAAATTATGATTAGCGTTTCCTGTTATATTTTGATTAAATTAAATTTTACAGCATTTCAGGGCATTAGCAGTATTTGTGCCAATCATATGTATTAATAAAATATTAAAAACCAAGACTAATACTCATTGTAAGCAATTATATAATTTTTTCATGTATGTTGTATAAAAAAATATACATTTCTATCTTTTTTATACCTATAATCCCCGTAAATCCTATCTTATTATTACAAAAGGAGAATAATAAATATATCATTAAGAATATTAAATATATCATTAAAGAAATATCAATTTTATTATTATTGATATAATATCTAAACTTAAATTACGCAAGGATGTTTGAAGAATACAATTATCTTTTATTTATTCACTTTAATTTTTTTAGTTTTGTAAGAACACAAATAATTTTTGTTCTGTCAAGATTTAATTTGACTATATTTTTTGTAATTTTTATAATATTTGAACAGCGTTTTCGTCAGAGTTTTATTAAACTAAAATTTATTTCAACTAATATCAAGAATAATCCAAAATCAGTTTCTTAAATATTTTATAAATGTAATAATTTATTTCAAACTACATTGTTCTGCCGTGTATATAAAGTATTTTTTTATTTTATAATTAATTATATTCATGATATTTGATAGTAATATCAGTATTTTATTATGCGAAAATCAAGCATTAAATATGGCACAGAAAAGGTAAGGATTATGTTTAGCGATAACACGATAGAGAGTTTTGCAAATCTTCCAATTAATTTAATCATAGTTTAAAAATTATGTAAATACATATTCATAAAAGTTATTTATTTAAAAAATATTGTACATATATTCTATTATTTTGCAAATAATTAATAGAAAATAAAATAAAATATTACATAATATCACATAATTTGATGCGAAATGCAACAAATTTAAATTTTTTATAAAATACGATATTGCTACGTTGTATTAATGATGAAGATTTAAATCGGAAATATTCAACAAAACTATATATTTAATTATTTCTGTATATTTAACAAATTCTAATGGTGAAATTTTATTTCAGCGGTCAACTGAACAACACCCACCGTGATTTAAAAGATCTGCAATATATGGACCAATCTCTGAGGACCGTCGCTACTCAACTCCTCAATGTGACGAACCCGAAGGATGTAATGAAAGTGAATAACAAGGAGCTCATTAAGGTGGAACACGGAATTCCGACAACACCAAAATCTCCGGAAAAGAACGATGCTTCTTTATTGATAAGAGATGTCAGTCCGGAAGTCAGCAATTTGGAGCCTGTAAGCGTAAGTTTCGGTAGGCCAATTAATTCCAAGTTCAGCTACTTCGAGACCAGTCATCCGGGCCAGGCGATGGCGATGACGGAAGAGGAACTTGAACGGGAAATGAGTACAACGAGACTAATTACCGCCTATAAGAATCACCCGACCACCACCGGTGGTATCTCCACTTGGATCCTGCTGAATCCGCCGTCTACGACCGTGAAGAGCCCGGAGATTGAGAAGATGAAGACGCAGCAACCGTTCCAGACGGAGGTGCGACTTACGGTGAGACCAAGCTCATCGATCGAGAGGGTAGAGACGATTCCGCAGTCTGAAAAGACCGCGGAGAAGACCACATCGCAATTGACCTCTGTTATAACTACCGAGAAGATGACTGTAATTACGAAGAAGCCAACTGCAACGACGATGAAGAAGATCCCGACTACCTTGAGACCGGAGAAAGTTACTCAAGATTCTGGAAAGACAGAAACTTCACCAAGCACGACTTTGAAGGTAATTCGCACGACGACTGCGGGTGTTTCGACGACGAATGACGGAATGGCTACGGTGACGACTGTTCTTACAACGAAGAAGCCTCAACGAACCACTTCTAAGCCGAAAGTCACCACGCCGAGAATGACTTCGCATCCAAAATCGACGACGACGAAGCCGATGGTAAAACCGACGAGACCTAGTCAACAACAGAATAAGCCGAAACCTACGCCGACGAAGAGAACGACGGTCAAACCTGAGACAGCGAAGAACGAGACATCCGCGTCGACCGGCAAGATCGAGAAGGTCACGTTCAAACCAGTCCCGATCATCACAACTCCGCAGAATACCAAGCCAGAGAATACCGAGAGACCGATGTTTGTTACGAAGATAAAAGCGTCGGTGCTCATGGACACGCAGAAGACTCCGACTACTTCAGCCCCGGCTACCACCGGATCACTGACCACTTTAAGTGTCGGCACTAAATCAAATTTCAGCGCAGATCTCATAGAGGTGCCAGTAAGATCGAAGCCGATCGGTACGAAAGTGAACAACGTGCTGAAGGTGCAGCTGAAAAAGCCCGCGAACGAGACCACGCAGATCGAGATAGAGCCGATCAAGGTAAATGCACCGATCTTGAAAATCGAAAAGATCGACAAGAACAAAATGGACGAGATAGTGGTGAAGGACACGGGCGATCTTGACGACTCCAGAATAGATTTGAAGTTCGACTTTAATCCCGAATTGACCAAGATCAACGTGGAAACGCAAACGGAGGCCATGACGACGTCGACGGCGAGCACAACAGCGTCGAGTACGACAACGAAGCGATCGAAGCACAGCTCGAAGAGGAAGAGGAACAAGCTTCGCAGACGTAAGCCTACCACGGCTTCGACGATACCAAGCTCGACGACGGAGATGCCCGCTCTAATGGAGGTCAGCGAGGGCGTTACCGAGGTGGATAACGCGATGCAGGAGTCGAAGATCGCGCCTGAGACAAAAGTCGGGACAAACACGAAAAACAAGAAGAAGCAACCGCAGAAGGGGATCAGCACTCAGATTTATAATTTCCTGAGTCGCGAGGTGATGCCCAGCTTCGGGGTGATGTCGCTGGTAGGTCTGGGTCTCGGTCTCGCCTCGTACTTCCTATATCCCTTCGGCGGCACAATCTCCCGAAGAAACTACGAAGTGGAGCCGAATTACAAGTACAATATGGACGAGTACGGAGGTAATTACGGCCAGAGCGAGGAGGAAGTACTGTCCAAGGTGTTCCAGGGTATGACGAATTACGAGAACAAGTATCCGGGAGTGAAGGACAATTACAACAACAATTATTATCAATATCAGCATTACGATGGTGCGTATGATACGCAAACGACGAAGAAGGTCGACGTGAGGTATCCGGCGGTGTCCACTTCTCCTGTTTACAAAACCGCGGAGAACACCCAGCCGGCGGTAAAATATCGAAACACGGAGTTTCGATATCCCGAAGCGCAGACTACTCCGGTTTATTACGATCGCAAACGTCCGGATCCCGTGGGGGAAATCGGCGCGGGCTCGGCGGCGAATCGGCAATTTGTGGTCGGCAACGTACCCAAGGAGTATCCGTACAACGTGAAAGCGGCGAACTTGCCGATGGATAGCAAGAAAGGCATTGGTTACGTTTCGACCGAGATCGGACAGACGCAATTCGAGAGGGACGTTGCGAGCTACGATTTCTCGCCGAACGCGGCCGGCTTGCACGGCTACAGCCACCTGGGAGGGTCGACCGATCGACCGGATGACGGATATGAAGAGATCGAGATAACGCCGACCGCGGTGGCCGTCGAGCACGGCCCGCGGTCGCTCAAGGTCAAGCGCGACGTCCCTAAGGTCGGGGGCAGCCGAGGGCGACATTCCAGATCGAAGAGGGAGTCGGTAATACAGGTGATACCGTCGAAGCGCGAGCTGGAGGAGGAGCGGGAGGAAATGGAGAAGGAGGAGGATCTGAGCAACGAGATTCTGGACATCATCGATTCGGCGTTGCCGGGTGGCGAGGTGCCGCAGAAGACAAAGAGCAAAGGCGAGAATAACGAAGTGGAGGATCTCGAGGGACAGAGAAGAAAGCAGCAGGAGGAAATTAATACGCGTCTGAAGGAGTCCACCTTGAAAACTACCACGGGACACGTGGGAAACGTAGAGGGAACGACGGAGATCCCCGCGACATCCACGATCGGGAAAACGGATGATGGTGGTACCAGTGTCTTTCCAGAGAATTCCTCCGATAAGGATACCACGCATTCATCGGTCGAAAAGGACCCTGATGACTCGGTCGTCGAGTGGTTCGACAGCTCGACCACGAACAAGCCTTCGGGAGGCTTCAGCCTTCTAAAACTTCGTGAAGAAGGTGGCCGAGATCAAGTTCAGATTGGGCCTGACGATTCTCAAGCACGCCAGCGAGGGATTCGCGCGGTATCTGGGTCACGTGCAGAAGAGGATCAACGGCGAGGAATAAGGGGAAGAAAAAAAATTCAGCGAGGAGCAGCGATGGAAGTTTTTCGCGTCGCGTTTTCCAATTTCACGTTCCTCGGCGCATTACGGTGGATAACGGCGATGGACAACGTGACGATGACCGTAATCCTCGTAACGGTTAGTCGGGGGACGCGAAGAAGAGGTTCCCTCCTCCCCCCCCCCCGAGTTCCTCGCGATCGATTCGAGACGCGATTTCACGGACGATCATTCTTGTCTATCCGTAAACGACACGATATGATACGATAGAGACCGTCGTCCTTTCACTTAGAAAGCTAAAACGACGAAGGGAAACATAGATTACTGTTACGATTACTAGATGCGTAGCACTAGATTCTTCCTCTTCAAGGAATAAACATCACAGAGATGCATCTTTCAGGATTTGCCTCGGATGCGCGAGGTCGATCGATAGTCGATGACAATGTCCTTGACGAGCTCTTACGTTATCCAAAATAATTCCGTTCGATTAGTACGAGATATTTTAATATTAATTTTCGGGTTCTCGCGTACTCGTACGGAATGTCGATACATGCGATACATCAGAGTGGTAAGGTGCATTCCTGAGATATTTTATCGAAATTAGGAAGATCGAGATAGCCGCGGGATGGTGTGAGGGGGGTTTCGAGAGATTTCTCTGTCTCCCTCTCTCTTTCTCTCTCTCTTCCACACACAGGATCGATTGAATCTTTATTAAAAGTCGCTTTTTAATCTCTCTACAGTTGTTTTGGTATGCACGCTGCTCTTTTACCCTCTCGCTGGAGGGCAAGCGAAGATGTATGAAGCCGATTATTAGGCAGCTTATACTGTGAAGTAAGCTATCTATATATATATATATATATATATAAAACTAAATAAATAACAAGAGCTGAATAAATAAATAAATAGATAAGTATGCAAACTCTCTATGTAATACCCTGATATGCGCTATGTAAATAAATATTAAAGAATATAAACGCTTGTGTTTCTCTCACGCCGAAGCGTAACATTGATTTCTAACGGGAAAGATTGTCACAGATTACTTCGGGTCATAAAAAAAAATTATTCACAGTTTGAGTTAATGCTTATACCGTTGGATTTTAAACAAATTCGAAGAATTTACGAGCGACGTAATTCAATTTGTTGCGAATTAAGCGCATGTCGCGTCGCGCATAAATCGAGAATTTACATTTATTAATGATGTTTGGTCTAACTTAAATATAAATTATAGATATTCAAACGGATAAACGGCGATAAAAGTCGGAATGTATCCTGTTTCCTTTTACACAACCGAAGCATTTTGTCAATAATTTAAATGTAATGAAAAATAACAAAGTTGCATTCCAGAAATGGATTTTTTTTCCAGTAGTTATAACGAACTTTTTAGCTTTAACTTCGCTTTACTTAGTGACTACTAGAATAGCAACAGGTGATTGTTTCTAAATCGATCGTGCTTATATCCTCGCCCGTGTAGACACGGACAGGAATACATTGATTATTCAAAGACGTATTCAGTATTAATATGATCTATAGTCTAACCGGGTTGACATAACGCGATGTTTTAGAAATACATAGAAGCATCATTTAGATCTGATTAGATACGATGAAACTTTAAACTCTAATTTTTTTATAATCCGACTACTTCCGCAACTGACATGATTTTTTTGTAAGCTTAAGGGATACGTTGTATAAAACACGAGAACGTATAAATATGTCATGTTTGTGCGTAATGTTCCGTTTTGTTTGTTCAGACTACATTCATTTCGATTCAATGACACGGAACGAAACGGGTAATCGGTGCGAAATCCGATTTCTGGGTAAATCACTTCCGTTTCCAAACCCCCAATGTCCGGCATCTCAATGTTATTCGCACAACGTCGTGCGCTCCGTTTCCTGCCGCCATTCTAATGAGTTCTTCAAACGAATTTTGCTATCTTAATTTCTATGATTCTATTGGTCTTTTTAGTTGAACGTTATATTCCTTCGCGAATTCATGCAGATTCAGTTCATTTTTCAAGATATGTTCCATCAGTCTCAGATCTCTCTTTCGACGGCCCAGCATCATCGGTATCATCATTGCCATCGTCGCCGGCAGCATGCCTGTTGTCGCATAAATGCAATAATTACAAACAAAATTAATTTAAACAGGTATAAATTTAAGGTATTAATTTTCTGCAATTTAAATTCTCGAGATTCTCATATTACGCACTTAAGTGTCAGTGTTATCATATAAAATTATCTTTTGTCGACGTAATTTATTATGCAATTGTAATAGATTTATTGAACGATTAAACTTATTATTGCGATATACGACATAATTAAAAATTTTAATAAAAACATTAACAGATACGTACATTGTTATTTACATATCAATAATTTTCTGTTTTTTCACAAACTAAACGTTCAATCTTCAAACGTTCAATCTTCTTAAATATCTAAAAAATTTTAAATCAATGCATCGTTTTTAAATCTTTACATGAATTCAAAATATAAATTTATCATGGACAAGCGATTAATATATTTTGATATATTATTTTAGGTTAGATCGTACCTGCTCCAACGGCTGCCAGAACGGCCGAACTTGATGGTTGGTTGGAGCTCAGGGTTGTGTGCCTGATTGGTCTTTTCTTCAGGATATTTGGCACCGCCATCAGTTTCTTCATCTCGTACTCCTTTCGACTCTGCTCGACGCTCTTGAACGTCTTCTCGACTTCCAGAAGACCTCCGTGGGACGTCGTCGTGTTTGTGCCGTTGATCGATGGCAACACCGTCAATCTGACCTAGGTAAACGATCTTTCATAAAGCGGCCGTCATTTGATATCTCCTTTGATAAATATTCAAGTCATTTGGTAATTTACATCGACAACAATATAATACGCAGAGTATATCTGACGAAATTTTAATTATTATTAAATGAATATTTATGGCATATTTATTTAATAGATATTTATTTGGCGGATATTTGCCAACTTGAAAGAGGAAAATTATTTGGCGAGAGATAGAGGACGTATTTTAGCTGAATTAAAATTAGTTCTTTATCTCTCTTTGATCATCTAGCCTAACCTGGCGTTTCGAGGTCATCACGGCTACGGCAGGAGCCTCGTCCTTATCTCCGTTTCCGCGACCCGTCGTATTAATCCTCTCGAACGGTTCTGCTGAATTTATCGCGTCGATCTTGATTGACCTCTGCCTCGACTTGGAGTATCCTCGGTTCGTCGATAACAGGACCCATTGGCCGTCGCCACTCGCCGGATGACTCGATGGATGGTTGTTTACGTACTGATAATGCGAGAAATTCGGCCTCTCCGTGATCAGGGTGGGTCGAGGTCGATCTTGTTCGTATTTGGATGGGTAATCGTGCCAATTGCTCCCATCTCCCGATTGATCCTTCTCCGAGAATCTGTCGATAAACTGATACGGCGGTTTGGAAGTTTGCGGTCGGGACCAAGTGCTGGGGAAATTGGACGGTCTGTCGTCCGTGATGATATCGCTGTTGGGACGATGGGGATCATACTTGTTCCAGGTGGGCCTCTCCGGCGGCCATTTCTGCGCCTGATTAGACGTGTCATCAGGACGATAAGGGGGACGTGAAATTGGTTTCTGCCATGGCTTCTCGTTACTGTCGGACCAGTTAGGCTTCGGCTTGTCGTACCTAAGACACAATTGTTTGTTTTTGCAGTAGTGTAAAATTAGTATTTCGTCGAGAGAGACTTTTCGTCTATAAAATCAACGATAAGTTAGATTTTAATGAACGCTAATGAAATTTTTATTTTGAGGACTTAAGAAAAGAAAAAAAATAAAGATTTTTACTAAAATATTAGGCAATAGAAACGATCTGAATTTTTTGTAAATTGCTTTGTTCGAAAATAATAAAGCAGAAATAAGAAGTGAATAAATTTTTGGCAAATCTTCTTAATACTTTTGGTATTAACGTTAGACAATAAAATGAAATTAAGCTTTGTAAATATAGTTACGAGAAAGAAAGTTTTAATTTTATACTAACAATAAATATCTCTCATCATAATATCACAAAACCTATTTTCATATTGTATATGAGACCACGTAGTGAAAGGAAAATTAACGGTTGTAGTACTTACCATGGTTTGTTGTTTTCATAAGTGGGTCTGATGGTAAAGTCACTGGCCCATGGTTTCACGCTCGGTTTATCCCATGGCTTTATCTCCGGCCAAGGTCGTTGCGTGCTGGGATTGGCCTGCCACTTGGAAATTTTGCTCTTGGACCACGGAATTGCTTCCAACGTCACCCAGCCGTTTCTGTCTTCATAAGTGTTTGTACCATAATACTTGTTTCTTTTCAAAGTGTCGTTTAATGCCTCGCTTAACTAAACGAATAAAGATAATGAAAAAATTAATTAACATGTTGTTTATTATATAATAACGAATTGTAACAAATAGTATTGAATCGAACTTAAAATTAAGATATATTTTTTTTATTTAGTATTTCCTTTTGCTTTTTATTTATAATTCAGAAGAACAATATGTCACTATGTCACTATGAAATATGTTTCTTACCGCATCCTCTGTTGAAGTAGCATTTGAAGTCTGATCAAACTTTTCGTCCTGCTCCTGAATGGTCGTGGTCTCGGTGGTTTCGCTATCGATTTCGAGAACGAGCGGTTCCGCAGGCGGTTTCACGATTCTGAAGGGATACTTGAAATTCCTCTCGGTGGTGCTCTTTACTTTATTGGCGTATTCCTCGAGAAACTTGTTGAGCACGTCCGGATTGAAGGTCGAAGTTTCGACAAAAGAATTCCTTCGATTGTACTGATCGCTCGATATCTCTTTGGTCATCCTCCCGTCGTCAGTTTGATGCTCATTCCCATTTTCGTACAGAGGATTCGGCGTGATTGCTATCGGATCCTGAAGAATCCTCAAATTGTCTACCTTTGTTCTGAACATGTCGGATGCGTTCGTCCGCATTTTTACAAAGTATCTCGTGCTCCCTTGCGAACTTCCTAACGTCAAAATCGTCAGGAGCAGGCATACCGCTCCTCTTGGTGTCATCTGAAAACACAAGGAACTTTATTTCATATATTGTTTAGAATTCGTTATAAAAATTCTCTCCTTTAATTAACTAATAGTAATACGGTACAATCTTTTTACATTTGCTTTTATTTGTGTAATTGTATTTTTAACAAAGAAGAAGAATAATGCATATTAATAAATTGTGAGAAAATTATAAGAAAGAGTAGACATTATTCTGAAACAAGATATCATAGAAAAATCTTTAAAGCGCTATAAAAATTAATAAATAACGTGATGAAATCGTGACAAAATCATTTTTGTTAGAAGATTGGTTAAAAATCATGTCGAGTTAGAATTTTTAAGAAACAAAGAAATTCGTCGAGATCACTATCAACCCCTCGTTTGAACGTCCACTTCGTGATTTTGCACATTGCCTTAATTCTTACTTAATTCTACGGAATCCTACTGTATGATTGTAACGCCGATTGTAACGAATAATTCGCGTACACAATGCGTCGCACTGACCGTGTCGTTATTAGTCGTCGCCTTCAATTACATGAACAAGGAGGTCCGTGTATCGCTCTGTTCGGAGATTCCGTTAGCGAGAGAAAGAACTGCGCGCAACTCGCGCCGGCGTGTGGACAACAAGCAGCAGAATTACTACGGTAGCAACAACAATAGTAACAGCAATAAAAAAAAAAACAACGGAGCAACGTTATATAAATACGGAAGTGGAATACTCGCGCGGCCTCGACTCTTCAAGGTCCGAGATGGCTCTGTTGCCGAGACGTTGCCCTCGTTTGCTTTTAATCCAGATCCCCACTTCGTCGGTGCTTGGTCCATTTTGCATCTTCCTCCGTTCCCCGTAGCCGTTGTGTTATTCCGTTCTTACCTCCTTGGCTTGGTCAACCTGGAGAACGGGCGCCACATTGTCTCTCCTTCTCGCCCGCGATTTCCGCGCGCGTCCCTTTCTCTCTTTCTCTCGATCTCGCGGTTTCTTCCTCTCGCACCATCCTCCGTCGCGGTTCTCCGCACGGGGTCTTTCTCCTTCCCCCCCCCCTGAACGATCGTTCTTGGAATACAATGAACAACAATGGGAGGCGAGGTCGGTCATGCCGGCCACGATCGATGATCGATGAGATCGAGCCCATCACTGGCCTCCGACAAGTGAATGATGTCTGTATTTTTGCGCGAGGTACTGTTGTATGTTATACGGGAGTTACCACGGGAGATTATAGCGGTTTCCAAGGCATTCGCTTTTCTAACAGCCTCCTAGATAGCCGAGATATAAGATATCTTATATTCTTGCACGGGGATACATTTGTTTCGACTGAGAGATATATTTATTTTATTTATTTATTTCGGAATGTCTCGCTTTCGCGTAAATTTCTGTATGACGACGATGATGATGATGATGATGACTAGAGTAAAATGAGATGGAGATGGAAAGTTCTCTTAAATGAGGCTGAAACATCTTTCTAATTCTGTTTACATCGCAAACATCATTACACGTTTAAACGTTAATAACGTATCCTAATTAGCTGAAATTAGTATCGCGGAAGAGTTAATACATACAAAATATTATGTTAAAATTAACATAGATAACTTTAATCATTAAACATTTTTTTTTTTAACGATTTCAAAGATAAGAGAAAAGCGCTGCAAATATGTGCACATTATTTAAATTACGAATTTATTTATTTGTCAGCTAAATAAAATTTTTACATTTTCATTCTTTCATCGAGACAATTAATATTTCCGTTTATTAAGAAATGGATCTTGGATCGATCCGCTTAAAATAATTATCTCGACGAGTTATTTACAATATGTTTTCTCATTTATCGACGTCTCTAATCAGGCATACTTACAACGTTGTTGTAAAAATTCAGATAGTGAAAATCGCAGACGCGCGCATTTAATACGAGGAGGAATGATACGCTCGTTTACAACTTGTCTTCTCGCGGCCGTTTTTAATTGCCGCTCTTTGCCGATGAGATTGTTCCTGCCGCGTAGCGATAACGAAGCGAGCGATCGCTTCGTGAATGAAGAAAACGTTGCCGTGATTTGACCGAGAAAAGTGGCACGAAACCGATCTTCGGTCGTTTCCCCCTACCCGTTAATTGGCACTCGCCATTGTCGTCCACCCATTTCCGATTTGGGAAGAGTTATATCCGACGACGGAGAACAACGCTAATGAGAAACAGACCGCGCGCGGTGTCACGCGCTAATTGTCACAATCGGGCTGACGACACGACGGACGACGACGATTCTCTAACGCGACTACGACCGGCGACAATGTCATTTTCACGCGAGTTTTACCTTTTGTCAAATCGCTACTTTCACCGTTTAAACGCGGCAGAAATCACGTTCTGACGCGCGATGGCGGTGAGTTGCTCTCTCTCTTCTAACCGCGGCCTCCTCTAGGCGCGGCACCAAAGCAGTTTCGGCTATCTCAGAAAGATCGAGCGGAAATCTCAACTCTTTCTTACTTTTCCGATTTCTGTAATAAAAATGTATGTTAATGTAAATTAGCCACAAAAACATTTTATAAAGTATATACGTATTATTTCAAGGAAAACGTGCAAGTTTTTTTATTTATTGTAGAAAGAAAAACTACATTTGACATTAATATTTAGCTTATTATTTATAATAATATTTATTTATGTATTTAAATTAAATTATCATGGATATTGATACCTGAGAGAACCTCTAGAATTATTAACTATGTAATATGCAATAAAAAAATTTGATTGTCCCTCTTTTTTCTCTCTTCTTGCAAATAAAATATATGAATTTATTAAAATCTAATATTATTATAATTAAAATTATTATTTTGATGCAATGATTTCTTTTGGCATGAATATAATATAATTAGATATTATAATAATAAAAGAAAAGGTCTATTCGTTTATCATATTATATTTATTTATATTGTTTATATATTATATATCTATGAATGTGCACATACTGCGATACAAGAAATGGAGTTTCTGGCTGAATGGCCGCACAATTAAGGACATGCCGACATCGCGCCGGCATAAAGGACAAAGAAGGCCGCCGTTGATTTTCATGCTCGGTAAATCGCCGATTTGGCCTTCTTCGACGTATAGTAGATGCCACGGAATCGGATCGGCGAACAAATCGTAGAATCGGCCGTTTACCGATTTTTGCGCTTTCGCGGCCCAGAAACCTCCGTCGTTTCTTTTTTTTTTTCTTTTCTCGTGCCTTTCCTCCTTCACATCACGGTGATTCCTGCTGGTCGCGCGAGTGAAACGCATCTTAACAGTTTCCGTTTTACGAGCAGCTTCCGATTCTTCCGCCAGATTTTCTCCGATCTAGGATTTTTTATCAGACGCCGACCCAGAAACGGACGATTTCTTTTCTCGTCTGTCGAGCAACTATGCTCTACCATCGATTTTCGCATACCTATGCAAATATCGCGTTACATGTCATCCCAAAGCAGAATCGCCAAACGTGTCCACGTTGCGTCATTGTATGTCTTTCAATTTACATCATATAGACTTCATCTTCTAAGCTTTATCACCGATATATTAAAAATTTGCGTGACAAGTCTCTTGTATATAATGAAGACTTAAAATGTTAAGTTTAATATTCGAGTTACAGTGAAATGTCTTTCAAAACATTAAAAAGTTATTAACATATAAATTTATTCAACTATTTGATTTAATTTTATCTAAAATTAACCGTTTGATAGCTTTATCTAATTAATTGATAATGACGGATCGATCTTCGTCGCGAAATCAAAGTAATTATGTAAAACAAATTCTTTTTTCTCTCGCTGCGAACAAAAACGAAAGAGCATGTTTTCGGGATTGTAGATGCATAACGGATTTTTTTTACTTCCGGTTCCGATTCTGGCGCGGTCAGCTGGCCTACTCGAAACCGGAATTAGGTCGGCTTAGACACAGCTAACCGCGAAAATGACTATGTCGATCCTGAAAAAAGGGTAGAAATGGTTTGCGAATGCAGCGAACGTCTACTTTCATTGCCAGTCATATCAGAGGGAGAGTCGCGATGACGAGAACGATATGAGAAGAAGTGGAAGGGGTGAAAAGGGTATTATAAGATCTAGCCTAGATGTCAGAGATCTACGCAACGGCAGAAAGTTTCAAGGAAAGTACTTGTACACGTTATTATCAGTTAATCTCTTGAATATGAATTGCAAATTATATGAATTATATATAACTAGAATGTGAACATTTACTACAAAGATCAAGAAAAATTTAAAAGTATTAATATTCAAAATTGTTATTCTTATTAAATATTACAATTTAATTTATTAAATATTATAATTCATAAATTTTCTTCATCATTTTTTATTTTTATAGATTATTTGCTTTTGTCTTTAAAAAAATTGCCAATAATTTGATAATCACATCAATAGAAACCATCAGTAGAACATCAATACAAATTCTTCCTTATATAAAGCTAATTGTACAAGATGAAGACGGTTGAAAGGAATGCAAAATAGTTTGTAGAAAAATATTCCTTTTTTTTATGGAATATGAAAATTCTAAGATCATCACGGAGCATATAGAACATATCGATATGACCTCGCCGCGAAACAGGGTCAGACTCTCACCGCTCGGCGATAAAACTTGGCTTAGAAAGTCTTTTCACCCCTTCCGCTCATTATACTTGTGTTCCACGAGCGCTGCTAGAGTAAGTAATGTCTCCTATCTTACTTATGCAATTTAGCAGACTGATATTTCGCCCGTTTCTATTCGGTGTACTACTGAATTTCTCCGAAATTCATTTTTCCTTCTTCCTTTCCTTCAAATTGTATGAAATAAAAATGCAAGAATGCCATAAAGTCCAACTTTTTCTAAATAATTCCGAATTATTTATTGCGAATTGTTATTTATTGCATTTTACTTGCGAATTGTCTTCTTTTTATAACATTAGTGTAGAAAATTCACAAATTAATTTTTATATTTTCTGCAATTTATCAATTCATAAATCAATTATAAATAAATATTTTAGAGACCTTTATTATTCAATATCGAGAAGAAACAAAGTTAAAGAGAAAAAAGGATAAATAATAAATTTATTACGAATAAATACATATATCTAGATCGATATATCATTCAGACAATAGGAAGACTCTCTCTCTCTCTCT